AAATAAAGTCATACTGTAATTTGTTGTGAGTTCATGCACTGTGTTGGTTTTGTACTTTGAGCAAGGTGATGTTCATGCACGGCTCATTTGATACACCAGCAAAAAAAAAAACCATCTTGAATTTGGAAAAAAAAAAAAAAAATCGCACTTTATCACCAAAAAGGGTTCAGTGAATGCACATATGAAACTGGTGGGTTTGGTACCTCAAAAAAAGTTAAGAACCACTGACCTAAACCATGCAGGACACCGGCACTTGAGGACTGACTTTGGACACCATCTAAGAGGTAGTTGGTCAGCTTCAGAAGAAGACACCAGCGGATTGGTAAAATGTTTTTTTTTCCTACCGAGAAGATGGTTTAACCCCTTAACCCCCAAAACATGTACAATAGGTTGCCTTCAGGCCCAGGCCACCCTAGAAAAAAAAGATCTGAGATCTCAATGGGACTTGCCTGGTAAAATAACGGTAAAATAAAGAACTAAAATAAATAATAAATAAATAAGATACCAGGCGAGCCTTTGTGGGTCCACTGTATGTAGAAGTGATGAATCCCCAACAATTACTAAACAAAGCACAAAGTTATGTGTCCTTCTGGGCTGGTTCAGAACGTGGCTGGATCTCGGTTCGCAGCTGGATGGGTGCAGGAGCCTCCGCAGTGTTGCTGAAGCTGGAATTATAAATTTAAACTGGACTCAATTTGAACTAATTCTAAGATGAGCCAGTTTCTGGCCGACGCATCTAAACTTTGAGACTTACGAGGACGGAGAAGTCTGGATGAGCTGATGACGTCAAGCAAAGATCAAGCAGAAGCATGAAGAAAACAATAAGCAAGCAGGGTCAGAAGATCCACAGGGGCAGTGGTTTCTGACTCTGATCCAAACAGATCACACAGAAACCAGAGCTGAGGAATGTTAGTTCGTATTGCTCCTCCCCTCAGCCTGATGACTAATGCTATCCAATCCATGATCAGTTCAGATCAGACCAGATCAGTCAAAACTGTTCACAAAAATTGGGAAAGTAAAAGTACTTTTACACACCAAGAAATAAACTGTTGAATTTACTGAACCAAACTGGTTCCTCTAAGCCAGGTTGAGTAAATTGAGCAATATTTGTATATTCTTTGCTCAGTTTACTCAGCTAGTGGAGCCAGTTACGACTTAACTTTGAGTAAACTCAACACTTCGTTTTTAGAGTGCAGAAACATCTTACATGATGAGATCGAACAGATTTAATTTTGTAACGAGTAACTAGGTGTTAAATGGTAAACTAAAAAAGTAAAAGTATCTTTTTTAGCTTTAAAATGTAACAAAAAGAAAAAAGTAGCTATTTAAAAAAATAATTGGTAAAATTACAAATCCTCAAAAAAATTGCTTAAGTACTGTAACAAAGTAAATGTAAGTTATTATAAACCTCTGTCAGGCACAAACATTTAACAAACTGATTTCTGCATTCACTGTGTTCAGTGTAATGAATTTAAACCAAAATAAAATCAGGTTAACTAAATGAAATAAATACAACACTTAATTCTCCTGTGTTCAAAAATTGTCAGTAAAAAGAGAAAATACTAATTTCTAAGTAATATTGGCATTTATACTCATAGAAGATCATGTTAATAAACAAAAGTTGGCACCCTGAGGAGGAGCAGCAGACATGAAGTCTGGCACAGGAGTGTATTCGACTCGATCGACCAATAGCATTGGTTTTAGCTTGGTTTAATCAACGGAGTCCTGATGGGTGAGAAGTTCTGATCTGTAAAAACAGGGAGTGAGAAAAAAGGGGGATTTTGGAGAGAGTCCTTCCTTTTGACCGCAGTCTTCAGTCCAGCTCGATAAATTAAAATAAGATAAGTCTGAAGAGACTGGTCCAGAAATGTGGTTCCTAAAATGTGATGTTGACCCTACAGAAACTTTGATCTCAAATTATCTCAAATGGACAGACTTTATTGAAACTTAAATGACAAGATGTACAACTAATTTTTGGAGTTAACCTAATTCAAGACGAACACCACAGCTTAGCAACATGAAAATGGCTAAAAGTCAGTTCTATAATTACTGAACTAAAATTTGATGTGATAGTAGCTGAGTGTCATTCACAGCACATACTGAGCATGAGATTTTCACAATATAAGACTGAAAGAAAGAAAAAATTAAAGGTTTGACTATAAACTGATTTTTTAAAGAATAAAACTCCGGCATAAAAAGGCAATGATTTCTCCAAGGAATACTATTTATACTTCTGCTTTAATCTCAGACAGAAAAACACACCTAT